CATTTACATAATGATATTAATAACAATTTGTCATTGTTTTACTTTTAAATTTAGTTTTGGGGTGGTTTTTTTTTTTTAATTAATTAATTTTATTTATTTTTTTTGTGTGTGGCCAGCTCAGCCCACCAGGGGGCAGGCTGGCTGGCATGTGGTGCTGGAGAATTGAACCGTGGTCCCTGTGCTTTGCTAAGCTTGTTCTAAGTAGGTGCTTTAGACCACTGAGCCATCTCACCAGCCCTGGGGTTTTTTTTTTTTTAAACATTTATTTATTTATTGTGTGTGTGTGTGTGTGTGTGCGCGTGTGTGGCCAGCTCAGCCCACCTGGGGGTGGGGCTGGCTGGCATGTGGTGCTGGAGGATCGAACCGCGGTTCCTGTGCTTTGCCAAGTTTGTTCCAAGTAGGTGCTTTAGACCACTGAGCCATCTCACCAGACCTTTAAATTTAGTTTTATACCAAGAGCATCTTTTATGAGAAAACCTTATTCTCAGACAAACTGGCTTCACGTGTCTCACTAACTCCACTATTACGAGGGAGGGGTGAATTGACAGAACTGGGAATCTTTACTTTTATGTATTTAGCACAGGGTCTACAGGGTCTTACTACACCGATCAGACTCATAGTGATCCTCCTGTTTTCAGCCTCCCAAAAGCTAGGATTGTAGGTACACACCACCACACCCAGTCATTTGGCATCTCAACCCTGGGCTCTGGGCCAGCACAGCACTTGGGGAATCCCAGTCCCTGTGTTCTGCCTAAGCAGGTGTTTTAATCCACTGAGCTATCTGGCCAGCCCTGGGAATTGTCTTTTGCCAAAGCCTTTGGAAAACATTGAGCATGCTGGTATGCAAGTCAGATGGATAACTATTGACAAAGCTGCATTGGAATCAAAAGCCTAACGGGCTTTCCCGTACATTGACATTTAACATCCTGGACCTGAGACTCAGGCAGAGATCCATGTCCTCATCAATCTGAAACTTTCTCTGATTCCATCAAAAACACTTCTTTATTTTTGTGGAACTGGGGATTGAACTCTGGCCCTTGTACTTGCCAGGGAAGTGCTAAGCCATCTCCCAAGCCCCAAATACACTTCTTTCTTTCCCTCTCTAGTAGACTGGTCTGGATCCAGGGAAGCATGACTTTTTCTGTTTCCCACTGACCCTCCTTGCATTAGGCTGCCAGCATCATTTTTTTCTCTTTTCCTGTCTATATTTCCATTCTGCATCCTCTCTACTATGAAGCAGTAACTTTTCTGAGTAACTTTTATCAACTGAGACAAATTCATTACTGCAGACTTCTCTAACATTGCAGCATTGGATAACTGGAGGAAGATCCTTTTTTTTTTTTTTAAGAGTCAAAGACTGCCTTAGGACAAACTAGGGGGGGGGGGAGTTGAGAGCATCAGAAAGTGAAGTAATCCCAAGAGTGTGGGAGAGTGAGGAGGTTGGGAGGGTTGAGGAGTAACATCGGAGAGGAGAGTCCAGTAAGTGGGTGGAGCGTATCCTGCCGAACAATAAAGGCTTTTTCTGGACATTTACCATTGAGAAGTTTCAAGGGGTTAAAGGGTTTCCCCTAAGGCCATTGGCTGCCATTGTTGAGTTTATTTTATTTTGTTGCCAAGCCATCTGTTAATAAATGATAAACTTTCTTTTTTTTTTTTTTTTTTTTTTTTTTTTTTTTTGCTTTAAGGCCTCCTGGAGCAGTCCTGCCCAAAGAATGTGTGGACAGCTTTCCAGGAGCTGCCCTGCCTCGGGGTGTGAGGGCAATAATGACCGAATCTGAGGTGAGCCAAGAGCTTCACACCCTAGAAGAGATCATCACCTACTCCCAAGAATATGAAGTATGAAAGAATAAATCCCACACCTGTTTTCCTGTCAGCGAGTGGTCCCCTAAAACAAGAAAGTAACTGCCCTGCCTTGGGGTGTGAGGGCAATAGTCCTGCCCAAGGAAGGGACAGCTTTTTCTATCCAAGAGATGCACAGTGGGGTTCCTGAGGTGGGCCCACGGGTTTCTGTGCTGAAGAAAATAACTGTCCTGCCCCAGGGCATGAGAGCAGTAGCTCTGCCCAACTAACAAGAGGACAGCTTTTTCTATAACTGAGACAGGAAACCACAGAACTGAGAAACGGCTCACCGATGAGTAGAGGCTGGCTGATGTTAGATGCAGGCTAGCAATGATCAATGGTAGGCAGAGTAGGAGTGGCTCATTGGTGAGGGAGCCCTAAAACTGGGGGAGCTTCAGGGCTCACTGATTCGAATCATGGCATCAAAATGTTAGATTTTTTGATGTTGTGTCAGAGAAGCAGAAGTAAAAGACAATGATGGAAAGGCCTTTATTGCCATCGAGAGGATCGATGGCAGGAAGATGGGGGATCCTCTGACCTAAGCTGAGGTGCAATGGACTTTTGTTAGGGGCGGAGTTTGAGGGGCAGGTTCAGTGACACACAGGAGCTAATTGGAGGCTCCCTTGTGTGTGCAGGAAAGGTAAAAGGAAGTTGTATGGGGGGCTGGAGTGAGAAAGGAGGAAGTGGTCATTGGGAAGATAAGCTATTGTTTTTAAGATTCAGCCATATTGAATCAGGGCTCTGATAATTTAGCAGCTTGCACGTGGGCCAGAACTTATCACCCAGTACTGCAAAATAAATAACACTTTAAAAAGCTTTGTAGAAGGAGCTGGGGTGTAGCCCAGCAGTATAGTACATCCTTGGCACATCCAAGACCCTAGGTTCAATCCCTGGCATCGCCACAGAAATAATTTAGAAAAAGAGGAGGAGAGGGTAGGAGAGAGAGTAAAGGGAAAATCTTTCAACTTCTAGTCAGGCTTTTTGGAGCACCCTGGTAACTTTCAGCTGCCATGCAGGAGAGGCCTTGTGTCAGTATTCTGTCACATGGCTCCAGAAGATCCCACCATCTAGGCATTTCCACCAAGGTGCTAGATGAATGTGAGGCCTTCCAAACAAATCCATTCTACCCACACAGCATAAACAAATAGCTCCGGGAGATGGCTCAGTGGAATAAGTGCTTCCCTAGCAAGTATAAGGGCCTGAGTTCAACCCCCAGTTCTGGCAAAACAAAGCAAAACAAAAAAAATTACAAATAGTTCATTGTGGTTTTTGTTTTGTTTTGGTTTTCTTGAGACAAGATCTCATTATGAAGCCCAGCTCAGCCTTCAACTCATTATGTAGCCCAGACTGGACTCAAACTCATGTAGATCTTCCTGCCTCTGCTTTCCCAGTGCTGGAATTACAGACGCAACCAGATGTCAGTGTGTCTTATTTTTTGTTTTGTTTTTTTGTTTTGTTTTTTTAGATAAGACCTCACTATTTAGTTCAGGTTGCCTTGAGCTCACTAGGTGTCCGATGCAGTCCTTGAATTTGTAACAATCCTTTTGCCTCAGCCTCCTACATGCTGAGATTATAGGTGTGTGCCACCATATCTGGCAGTCAGTGGGTTGGTGCCACATGTGAAAGAGGAGTCACTCAGTGGAGCCATATCCGAATTTCTGCCCCATAACTCTTGTTAGCTATCAGTGCAATTGTACTCATTGCTGTATATACACACACACACACACACACACACACACACACACACAAATAATGAGGTAGTTTGTCTCATTTTACTGGGGAGGGAACTGAGGCACAGAGGGCTTACTTTGTGCCAGGAACTGTACAAGATATTGAAGATACAGTTACAACAAAATAGTGCTGACAGACTTCTTGAAAGACAGAAAATCAAATTCTTTTATTTGTTTTGAGACAGGGCAGAAATATTTTCCTTTTTTTTTTTTTCAGAACCGAGGATTGAACTCAGGCCCTTGCACTTGCCAGGAAAACATTGATTTTACTGAGCTATCTCCCCAGACCCAGAAATATTTTCCAAAAAAAAAATTTTTTTTTGATACAACATCTTTATATATAGTTCAGACTGGCCTAGAACTCACTGTATAGCCTCGGTTGGCCTCAAACTGACAGTGATTCTCCTGCCTCAGCCTCCCAAGTGCTGAGATTGTAGGCATACACCACCATACCATCTGGCCAGAAAATTAAATCTCTAAGAGATGAGGAGGGAGGGAAAGCTTGACATTGAAGCTCTGAGTTAGGGTTCCTCTAATGGTTTGAAAGACTTTTATGGCTGGGCAGGGTAGATACCCCTGTAACACCACCATTCAAGAGGCTGAGGCAGGAGGATTTCTGTGAATTTGAGGTCAGCCTGGGTTACAACATCAGTTCAAGGCCAGCCTGAACTTCATAGTGAAACCCTGTCTCAAAAAGACGAAAGAAAGAAAGAAAGAAAGAAAGAAAGAAAGAAAGAAAGAAAGAAAAGAAAGAAAGAAAGAAAGAAAGAAAGAAAGAAAGAAAGAAAGAAGAAAGGCTTCTGCTTATGACCTTTCAGCTGAATCCTGAGGGATGCATTAACTAGGTGAAGAGTGGAGGGAGTGGAGAAGAGGAACATATTTAGGAATACGAGGAACCAGTGTAAGGCAGCAGAGTGGACTTGGTGCGAAGTGAGAAAAGGCTAGGCAAGATTGTGAAAGTCTCTGTAAACAACACCATAAAATCCAGAATTTGAAAACAATGAGAACTCCTTTTTTTTTTTTTTTTTTTTTTTTTTTTTTTATTGAACTCAGGCCCTTGCGCTTGCCGGGGAAGCGCTTATTCCATTGAGCCATCTCCCCAGCCCCAAAATGCAGAAGGATTTTTTTTTAAGCTCTGAATGCCTTTAGGGCAGGTTTGGCTGGCTTGAGTTGTGGGGATCAACCACAGCAACCTGAGCCTGACTGCTTTGTTGAAGCAGCCACTTAAAGAACTGAGCTAACTTCCCGCCCTAGTAGTGGGAATTGAACCTAGGGGCTTCTGCTTGCTAGGCAAGTGTCCTACCACTGAGTTATATTCCTAAATCTCTTTTTTCCCTTCATGTTTTATTTTGAGACAAGATCTTTCTGAATTTCTCAGGCTGGTCTTGAAACTGTTATCTTCTTGCTTCAGCTTTCCTAAGAGTTGAAATTAAGATGTCCCCTACCACACCCAGCAATGGTAAGTATATTTATGTTTTAGGAGGTCACTGTGACAGCTATGCAAGTAGCCAGGAGAGGAACAGAGCTATAAGGAAGGAGATTAGTTAGGATATTAGATCAACTGCTGTAGGGAGAAAAGGAAGAAAGGTGGCCTAGAGCTGTAGCTCAGTGGTAGAGCATTGCCTAGAACACTTTCAAAGCCCTGGGTTCAATATCCAGTACTTCCAAAAGAAAAACAAAAGTAAGTAAATTCGGGGCTGTGGATATAGTTGAGGGGCACAAGCACCTGGCTGGCAAGAGCAAGGTCCTGAGTTTGATACCCGGTACAAAAAACAAAACAAAACAAAACAAAACAAAACTATATTTTAAGAATTTAATCTACAGCCTGCTAAATAGCTCAGCAAACTAAAGCGCCTGCTTAGGCAGATGCAGGAACCGGGATTTGATCCCTGGTGTGCTGTGCTGGCCCTGCCCCCGGGGTGGGCTGAGAGGGCGACTAAGACCGGGTGTGGTGGCACACGCCTGTAATCCCAGTGCTTGGGAGGCTGAAAAACAGGAGGATCGGGGCGGGGAGATGGCTCAGTAGAATAAAAGCACAAGAGCAAGGACCTGAATTCAATTCCCAGTTCTGCCAAACAAATGTACCCAAAAAAAAAAAAACCAAAAAAAAAAACCAAAACCAAAAAACCGACAGGAGGATCACTATGAGTCTGATCTGTGTAGTGAGACCCTGTAGACCCTGTACTAAATACATATGAAAAAATATATATAATTTGTAATATTCAAAAGTCAGCTGAGGGCTGGGAGATAGCTCAGTGGCATAAGTGCCTGCCTGGCAAGTGTAAGGTCCTGAGTTTTATCCTCAGTACTGCGAAATCAATCAATCAATCAATCAATCAATCAATCAATCAATCAAATCAGCTGAATCAATGTGGATGGTCAAGAAACAAGATATGTCCGCCTTGATACATACTCAATCAGATATACCCTGTGTGCTCCAACAGATACTAGCAATTTCTTTTATCATAGTAATTATTATCATCCTCTATTGTAATTGTTATAAAAAGGCAGGGACTATATTTCCATTGTAATTACAAAGTGTAGCACGTATTCCTTCCTGCCTGGAATGTCTAGTAGAAAGAATTCAACAAATATTGAGTATGAGTGTAACTAAATAGTGGCACTGGAAAAGAAATAGCTTTATGGGGAAGGCTGACTCACTCAATTTAGTGCATACTAGGGCCAGAGAGATAGCTTAGTAGAATAAGCACTTGCCTGGCAAGTGCACTGTCCTGAGTTCAATCTCCAATACCACACACACACACACACAAAAAAAAAAAAACGAAAAGAAAAGAAATTTAGTGAATACTGAATTTGTGGTAACTATGAAATACCCAAGCCAGGTGGCCCATGCCTATAATTTCAGCACTCAGGAGGCTGAGACAGGATGATTGCCATGAGTTGGAGGCTATCCTGGGGTATATAGTGAGTTCAAGGTCACCTTGAACTATGTACTAAGACCCTGTCTCAAAAAAGAAAAAAAAAAAAAAAGAAGAAGAAGAAAGGAGAAAAGAAATAATACCTAAAGAGTTTTTCTGTGGACTGGACAGTCACTCTCTAGAAAGATCTACATAGATGTAGTTACTTAACTGGGTATGGAGGCTGTTTGAAAGAATAAGACTAGCCAGAGAGGGTGTGTAAAGTGCAAAGGACACAGGCTCTCAGCAGGCTTCTGTGGTTTGTGGCACAGGCAAGAGAAGGTCCTTCCTTATGTCACAGAGAAGTTGTCAGCAAAGTAAGGGGAAGGGAAACCAGCAGAATATTGTTAAGAGAGGTCAGTTGCCTGCTGCTGAGATGTTGAGCAGTGTAAGAATGGCCAAGTGTCTGTGTGACTGTAGAAAAGAGTGACCTTGGAAAGACAGAAGAATGAGGGGAAAGGAAATAAAGAACCCTGTGTGCAGGCAACGCCTGCAAGAAGTTAGGCTCCCTGGGCATTGTGACCCAGGCCTGTAATCCCAACACTCTGGGAGGCTGAGGCACAATGGTAACAAATTTGAGAACAGCTCAAGCAATTTAGCAATTTACTCTGTATCAAAAATAAAAAAAAATAAATAAAAAGACTTAGTGATTTGACTTTTACAAAGGCTCTAGGTTCAATTCTTGATGTTGAAAAAGAAAAAAAAAGGAAGTTAGATCATGAGAACTCAGAGACAAGAGCTCAGTAAAGAAAGGTTTGTCTAAACATCAAAGAGACTTGGTTATATTTAAAAGCAAATGGGGCAATGCCAGGCATGGTAGCACATGCCTGTAATACTAGCACTGAGAAGGCTGAGGTAGGAGGATTAATTTGAGTTCAAAGTCAGCCTGGGCTCCAAAGTGAGTTCAAGGCCAGCCTGAACTCCGACAATGAGACAAAAAGACAAAAATAAATAAGTAAGTAAATAAAATTAAAAGTGCAGTGGTAACTGCAGCCAAGAATATGCTCATGCTTCAGAACATGCTTGTCTACAGCAGCCTTCTCTGTGGCATAAAGAAGGTCTAGTTGGATCTCAATGAGACCAATGAAACTGCCAAAGCCAACACCCACCAGCAAATCTGGAAGCTGAATAAGAATGGGGTCATGATCTCCAAACCTGTGGCTGTCCATTCCCAAGCTTGATCCCAGTAAAGACACCTGGGCTGGCCAGAAGGGCAGGCACACAAGCATAGGTGAGTGAAAGTGCCTGCAGACAGAGCAGGTTACATGGATGAGGAGGATGTGCATGCCACAAAGCCTTCCTAGGAAATACCGAGAACCCAAGACTGACTCCTACATGTATAGCAGCCTGACCGGAAGATAAAGGGACTGTGTTAAAACAAAACAAAACAAAACAAAACAAAACAGTGGATTAGCCCATGGCTGTGACACACGCCTACAATTCCAGGTACTTAGGAGGCTGAGGCAGAAGTATTGCCAATCTGAGGCCAGCCTAAGCAATTTAGACCATATGTCAAAATCAAAAGGGCTAGAGATGTAACTCAGTGGCAGAGCATACTGGGTTCATCCCCAGCATGAACCAAATGCTACCAGTAAAGCAGAGTCTCATGCAGCACTTCCACAAGCTGAAGCAGGCAAGACTGATGAAAGATTCTGGTAGTCAAGTTCAGAGGTGCACACTTATAATCCTAGTGTTTCAAGAGGCTGAGGCAGGAGGACAACAGCATTGAGGATAGTCTCGGCAAATTAGTGAGAATTTATCTAAAAATAGAAATTTTAAAATATAGTGGGGGATGGGGAGCAGAAAGTACACTACTGAGGATGTAGCTCAGTGCTCCCTGGTCCAATCATATATCGAGAGAG